AAGTTTCCAGCAAGAAAGTACGGTCCAGATGTGTCTGGCTGCAAAAGAAGGCCAATGAAAGAAGGCAAAGAGGTACCAGTGGGTACAAAGGTGAAGACGGATGACAGAGAAACTGTCACGGATGAAGCTGATGGCAAAGGAAGGCCAATGCATGAATGCATAAAGGATTCAAAAGAAAACAGAGCAAATTAGAACATTAATGCATTGACAGAATCGTCAAGTCTGATGCAAGGCGGAGAGCGCCTCAGAAATGACATCATGAAGTGCGTCGTCATCGCCGATCATCAAGAGTGCATTAGCAAGAAGCGCAGTTACACCTGAAGTGGCGTTGCTGGCAGCAGAACCTTCCTTGATTGGAATTTCAGATTGAACATCGCCTACATTGGCTACAGCAGCAGCTGCAGCTTTTTCTTCCAACCAGACTTTGCGGATTTTGCAGTCGGCAGTAGGATGGGTGTGCCATTTGAGGTTGCTACGGTGTTTGGGACAACCGCAGAAATGCCAAGTTGTAGCGTTATACGTTTTGGTATTGCCAATAACATATGGTGTACCTCCCTCGGATTCGGGCTTCTTGAAGTGTCGGACAAAGGGAGGCAATTTGTCTTCCGTAGCAGGGGTCTTAGGAATGGTCTTTCCTTTTCCGCCTTTCTTGTCAACACCTTTTCCCTTCTGTGCAGCAATGATAGGAGCAATCATGGCAACAAAATCACCATTGATATCTTGACGGGTTGTAGTGGTTCTCCAGAGATGATTGGCCGATTTGTTGGCTTGTAGTCGTCTGCAGTTCAATGCGGCTTGAGTCATGAGCCACTGATGAAGAGTAGGAGTACCAGCAGGAGCTGCAAGGGTACCTTAACTAAACGCATCAGCCTTGCTGTTTGTCCAGTTAACAAAATCTTGGGGTTGCTTGATCTTTCGATAGGTATTAAAGATGTAGAAGCAGCGTTCAGAGTCTGGCATCAATCGAGCGGCAGTAGTGGCCAATGTGAAGAGGCCAATGATCTGCGAATTGACAGCAGTCATATCAAACTTGTAATCTCCAGGATCAAGGTTAAGAAGATCTTGGATTGCGTTGCTAGATACTTGAAGAGATGCAGCAGCAGTGGTGTCGATCATGCGCTTGAACAGAGACGGGCCGTCTCCGTGAGTAGGAAGGTTTCCAGGTTGTCCGAAGATTTCAATTCTGAGATCGCCAGTTATCCTTGAAGCTAAGCAGTTGTAGAGGCATCTTGAGTTCTGAATGGCACGAGGATCAACTCTGGCAGTATGTTCAGCCTGAAGGGTGGCAAGAGAAATAGAGTGGTAATCGGAGAGAAGATGGTGTGTGCCATAGGTGAGAATTCCATTAGGAGACGGAGCATCCCATTTTACTTCTGCAGCTTGGGTTTGGATAAGGAGTACGAACTGAAAAAGTTGGTGGAACCGCGACAGCCGGTGGAGCAGCCGCAGCAGGGACAGCAATAGGAGCAGCAGCTTGTGCAGCTATCATCTGTTGTAGCAGCTGCAAGGTTTGCGCAATGTTGGTGAATGCTTCATCTTGTTGATCAGCCATGTTTTGTCGTGTTCGGGCAATGATCTGATGATTCTGTGAAGCACGATTGGGCTTGAAAGGATTTGAAGGTGGAGCGCGATAGGGCTCAAAAGGGTAGTTGTCAAGGTTTAACAATGGAGTGCTGAATACTCAAAAGTACGATTTCGTGAGGAAGATCTTCCTTTAGGAATCGTTGGGCTCATAACCTGTGAATATATCGTTGTAATGATGTAAACTAAAGATTATGATTTTAAAACAACAAAGAAAGAGAAAACCAGAGATAGGTGAAGTTGCGTATCGAAGAATCATAGATCCTTCGAACACGCACTTGAGACACGAAGCGAATCGAGAGAAGCGTATCGAATAAAATATCCTTTGAGTACGCAATTGAGACACAAAACGGATCGACTCTCTCGATTCATGTGTATGACTCTGGAGGTTAATCTCGGCTTTTATACTATGCTGGTGCAACTATTTATACTAAATCCCCCGGGGAAAAAGAAGGGGGAAGAGGAAGAAAAAGGAAAGAAAAGAAAACGAAGAGGAAAGAAAAGAAAAGAGGAGAAAGCAACAG